CATGGCCCCCCTGCTACAGCACCGCCATGGAGCCTGGCTCTGCTGGGGGTTTGAGAGCCATGCTTGCGTCTCTCCAATTGGCTACTGCCTTTTTTTGGTTACAGTGCTGCTCTTTGGGCACCTGCATCCTGCCTCAATGAGGCCTCACTCCTGCTCCAGGGTATGGAGATGCCATCCACAGGTATCTGCATCCTTAATGTCCACAGGCCCTGGGTGAGCTGGCAGATACAGCTCCTTGGGAAGGGGGCACAGGGACAATGGGGACATCCATTCCCGCTTGCAAGGACAAGTGGGATGTCTGTAAACCTGTTTATTGCAAGCGTGACAGTGGTATCTGCCCTGCCTGATAATGGCAGGGACTCGGATGCCTTTTAAAGGAGAGAAGCGACAAGTGGATGGTTGGAGCTCCAGATAGCGGGTGCCGGGGCCAGGCGGTGACGTGCCAAGCCCTGGCCAGTGGCATGTGCTGCCTGACAAGACCCAGCTCCTGCCAGCCCCCCACATGCTCTTGCTCTGGTCGTCCATCTTCCCATCTCTTGCTAATCCTTCCTAAGCCCCTGGGCTCCCCTTCCTGAGCCATGTGCTTATCCTGTGGCCACCCTTTGGCAGTGAAGCTGGGTACTTGGCATGTGTGGGTCACATCCCCCCGCATGCTGCTGCCTCCCCAGCCCAGCCAGCCCAGAGCTTCTCATGTTGAGGAGCAGGTTTCCCCGCTGCAGGCAGGGTGCTGCCCTGCTCGCCCTCTCATGCAACCCAGGCTCAGGATGGCCAGGTTTGGGCTGGCAAGCACTGCACATCCAGGAGGCCTCTGCAGTAAGAATAAAACATAAGTGTTTTGCCTGGTTTTGTGAAAGACTCCTCTGTCCCATCCCTGAGCACCAGCCAGGAATGGCTCCCAGGCCCTGAATAGGAGCCTGACCCATTTTGCCATGAAGTTCCTGCCAACTGGTAAGGACCAAGGCAAAACACAGGCAGAGCTGGGGCAGCTGATGGGCAACAGCCACCACTCACCAAGCCCCTGGCAGCAGCTGCCTGCTCTGCCACGTGTACCCATGAGTGCCTGGCCATGCGCTGCATCCAGGGGTGCAAGATCTTTAGGGGTGATGGAAAGCTCCAGCCTCTCACCCCGTGGGGACTCTCACAGAGGGGACTGGGATGTAAGTGCACATGATGCACCATCTGAAGGGCTATGGGCCATGTATGGACAACTGTCCTCTGGTCAAACCCAGCCAGCAGTGGGGGTTTACCTTAGTCTTTTTTGATATCTCCTCCCCCCCGCCCCCTTATCCTGAAACAAATCCAGCTGATCCCAGGTGCCAGAAAAGGTGAGACTCAAGCAGACAGCAGAGGAAGGCTTTACAGCCCCAGCTCCCTCTATGAGCAGCCCTGTCTCCGTGAGTGAGTTTTTGTGGTATTTGCATCTGAAGGAAGAAGAAAGAGCTGAGAGGAGACAGCGTGGGGAGGGGGAGAGAGGTGAGCCAAAGGAGAGGCAGCCTGGGGGGAGTTATTCCTTATTTATTTATTACTTTCCCTTAATCTCCCTCAAAGCTCTCCGGTTGACCTGCCCCAGGCAGAGGTCCCAAGCAGCCTTGTGCTTTTCCAAGGCTCCCAGTGGAAGCAAACCCTGTTTCATGGCCAAGGCCAGCCCAGCATGGTCAGCAAAACACCCCCACACACACACATGTCTCGCAGCCCCCCTTGGGCCCATGGCTGTTGCTGCTGCCCAGGGGATGGCTACACATGCTGACACCAGCTTTAGGATCTGGGCTTGCTTCAGTCTTAGTCCTGATTGGGAAGGGGGATGCTGCAGGGACGTGGCTCCTCACCCACTTCGTGCAGCACCCCTGCAGAAAGGGGCTGGGGAGGGGAATGCTGGGGTGCCAGGGAGTCCCCATTGTGCCCCACAGTCACTAAGCAGGTTATTAAGGGCATGGCCAGACCAGCCAACATCAGCCACCAGTGCTGGCAACGGGATGTGTGCTGGGTGATGCAGCCAGCTGCCCACAGTGGCTAAGGGGGCCCCAGGACTGAGGGGCCAGGTGCCACTGCAGGAAAATAGGTCACCTGCTGCCATGGGGCGAGGGCTGGGGGACAGTCAACCCCTCGCATTGCCTGTGCCAGAAACCTCCCATCTACTGATGGGCTGCCAGGGAAACCCCAACTCAGCCCTCGGCAGGGAGAGAGCCCCCAGGTTTCTGGTGTAAAACGCATCACTTGATGAAAATTGCTCCCTGGGACAGGCCCCATCCTGGGCATTAATGAAGCTGTCCAGGGACACGGCACAGTGGGGTCAGGGCTGTCCCTCATGTGCCACCGCACTACTGCCTGCACCCTGCGTCCCCCCAGCAGCAGGATGTCCCATGGCTGCATTCCCGTGCTCTGTCCCCAGAGAAGCAGTGCCACCTCAGTCACCTGTCCCGCTGTCCCTGTGGCCCTGGGACAGCCCTGCCCTCGCTGCAGGAGCATGCTGAGCCTAAACCGGGACTGATTAAGACACAAGCAGCTAAAGCCACTTTGCTCCTGAAAGAGCATATCCGCTTGGGATTTAGCGCATTTGCAGGCAGGGATTCACACCTTTAGGTGATTTGTCTTAATTCCCCCTAGCCTCTATGTGTGAAAAGCCTTTGGCAGGCGAGAGCCTGGCTGGGTGCTGGTTCTACGGCACTGCTGAGCCCGGGGTTTCCCCCGTCGCTGCCCCATGCATACTGTTTGGGCGGGTACAGCCTCCCTCCTCCTCCTGCACCCCCCGACCCCCCGCTCCCCCCGCTCTGAGGCACCAGCTGAGATTTCCTGTGGATCCGGACGATTTAGGCAGCAGACCCTTTTCGGGACGGAAAGGAGCCGCTGCAGGCAAGAGGATGACGCTGCTCGCACCGTGCTGGCACCTGCCTCTGCCATGGGGTGCTCTGTGGCAGCAGACGCACCGGGTACAGCAGTGGCCCACCGGAGCTCCCGAGGGGCCGTGCCGGCGGAGGCAGCTGGCCTCCCAGAAACCAACAGCTTCACAAATCCCCAGCTCCCGCCTTGTCCTGGCGCCTGCCGGCACCGCGGTGGCTGCGGACCGGGCTGCGCTGCGGAGCACGCAGGGCTCAGCGGCCTCGCTGGGGCCGTGCGGGGCCGGGACACCGCTGCCACTTGTCCCTGTGCAGGGACCTCCCGGGTTACAAAGCCCCGCATTGTTGCGACAGCAGCTGGGCAAGGAGTGACAGGGGCGCCTGGGTCCTTCCAAGGCAGCGGAGTGCGCGGCCCGTGCAGAAACCCGCTGTCAAGAATCCCCATCCCGTCTGACCGGAGTCACCCCGACCCACCCCGGAGCCCCGCGTTCCCTTCCCAAAGCTGCCGAGGCCGGACGGGCTCTTGGCAGCCGCGCCAGTTGCCGGCAGAGAAAGGAGGAATTATATGACAATGGCGGCAGAGGAGAGCCGGGCTGCCGGCCGATGAATAATGCAACAGCTTCGCTCTGCGGGAGCGGCAGATTCCCTGTTTCCCCGCACGGCCCGAGCCAAAGGGTGTCAGTGCAGGGTGCGCCCCGGGAGCGCCCAGCCCAGGGCCCTGCACCCCGCTCGCCTCCCCCCCCCCTCCGCCAGTGCCCCCTCCCGTGCGCCAGCTGCCCGCAGCAGCCCCGTGGGACAGGACCCAGCAGGCCGAGCACGGGGTGGCTTCCTCGGGTGCAGGGCGCTGCACCCCGGCACGGGACAGGTTTGGGAGCGAGGAGGCTCCGTGCCGCCGCGGCTCCGCTCCACGGCTCCCGAGCATCCCTGTGCAGCGGAGGGAATTTTGACATGGCGTTTCCATGGCAACGAAGCAAAATGGCGCTGTGGCAAGGCAGCCTGCGCTCCGGGGCAGGGGATGGCGGGGAAGGGCTGAGGGTGCTGGAGCAGCTAGCGCGGCGCCTCATCCTGCAGAGGGGATGGGAGATGCCCGAGGCTCTCTGCTGGGGCTGGCCCTAGGACCAGCACCCTCAGTTTACGCCCCAGGCCACGGCACGCCTGCGATAGGCAGCACTGCCCCGTGATGCCATGCCATGTCGTGCCATGCACGCCATGCTACCCTAGTACGTGCCTTGCTCTCTCCCCTCTACCGCCTGCCACCACCACTATCTCTGCTCTCCAGGGCCTCTTGCCCTCATCCCCCCACCAAGGTCTCCCGTATCAGGCCTGTTGTCCTGGCTACTTAATCTGGGTTTCTCAGTTACCCCATCTGGAAAAAATGTGTCTAAGAATACCCAGTGCAGGCACGGTGCTTCCCAGAGCGGGGGGCTGCTGCCTGCCCCCTCCACACTGTGCTCAACCCTGCACCCTTCATCCCACTTGGAGCACCATCCCACCAAACCAGCCACTGCACAGCCATGGCACTGGGGATGGGCTGCCAAGAGTGGCTGCTGTCAGGGTGCAGCCAAAGGTTTTTCAGCGAGTGTATTTGGTGCTGGGCTTCCTCAAACACTGCTCTGCTGCCCCAAAGGACCACAGCAAACGGCTGTCTACCCTCCACAGCTGCAAAGCGCCTCACTGCACGTGTGCAGAGATGGAAAGCATCCTCACTTTGACCAGACTGTGCGTGTGCAGAGATGGAAAGCATCCCCCCAGGTGCTCTCATGTCCCTAAAAGTGGTCAAGCTGTCTCCTGTCTCTTTTCTGCATGGGCTCTGGGGTCAGGGATTGTGGCAATGGGACCTGCTGGTTTCCTGAGTGGGTGCCAGCCCGCAGGTGGGTGCAGGACTCACCCAGGGATGGGAAAAGTGGCACCACTGCTCTGGTGTGCACTGGAAGGGACCGGGCACAGCGGCAAAACCCAGCAAGCCACGGTGCTTCATTGCGATGTTTTCCCCAGAATCACGAGCACCTGCATCCTTCGGGCTTTCGGAGATGGGAACAGGGGAGGGGAGGGAGGGAAAGTCTCCGCCGGTCGTGAGTGTGCACCTGCTGCGCTCGCACAGCCCCGCGCCGAGCCGCGCTGTACCATACCGAGCCGGCCCGGGCAGACGCTCCGCTGGCAGCCCCGCCCCGGCTCCCCCCCCCGGGCGGCGGCGGGGCCAGTGGGCGGGGGCCGGGCGGAGCGGGGCTCACGGCTCTGCTCGGCTCGGCACAGCGCGGCTCGGCTCGGCTCCTCTCTCCCGCCATGGCATCCAAGTGCCCCAAGTGCGACAAGACCGTGTACTTCGGTGAGCGCATCCCCGGGGCCCGGCCCCGCATCCCCCTCTCCGAGCCGGGACGCATCCCCGGACCCCCCGCGCTGTCCCCGGTCCCCCATCCCGGAGCCGGCGCTCACCCCTGTCCGCTCTGCTCCAAACTCCGGTGCGCCCCCGGGTCCTCTGCTCCTTCCCGGCTCCGAGGTGTCTCCCCGGGTCCGCCGCCCCTGCGCGTCCCGGTCCCAGCGGCTTCCCCGGGGAGCCCAGCGGCCAGAGACCTGCCCGGTACCAGCTGCTTGTGCCCCCCCGGCCAGAGGCCGCGGCCCCTCTGCTGAGCCCCCCGCCCCTTCCCCGGGCCGCCATCCTCGGGCTGTGCTGGGTGATGCTGCCGGCTCGCCCCGGGGCTGAGGACACGGCGGGGGGGCGGTGTCGGGGGGGGTCCGGGCCACCTTGCCCTGGTTCCTGCCCTGAGGAGGTGAAGCAGGGGGTGAGAAGCCCCGGTTGGGGTGTGTGCCCGCAGCCTGCTTTGGTGCTGGGGGGGCTCATGTCTCTTCTGCCTTGGGTCATAGGAGCACCCAGCCCATCTGACATGGATGGGGCGCTGGGCAAGGCGTCCCAGGAGGCGCGGGTCATGGTGGGGAGGAGCTGACGGTGGCAGGTGCAAACAAAACCTTCTCCCCGCCAATTCATTCCCATTCCCTGCGAACCTCTCTCGAGGTATGCTGTTCAACCCTTCCCATCGCGCCTCTCCCTAGCCCAGTGGGCGAGCTAATGAATGGTTTGGGGTTTCTACGGGACTTTTACAAACGCAGCGTCTGGGCTTAGAGGTCCATCCCGGCATGCCCCGGCGGGGTTTGAGCAGCAGTGAGTCCCTAAGGGCTCTGCCTGGGGTTGTGGCTGGTCAGGATCTCTGGGAACCAGGCATGGGGTGTCTGCCGTCGGGCATCCCGGGGTGAGAGCCGCCGCCCAGCTTGCAGAAAATGCCGGGGGCAAAGGTGGGATCAGGTCCCTGCCTTGATCCCCTGCCTCAGTGCCGCACTGCTGCTCCTTAGAGAGCCTGCCCCAGCACACTTCCCTCCGGCACGGTGGTGCCCAGCGGGAGCCCCCGAGGGAGCGACCTGATCCCCCGGTGCCGGAGTAGGCATCCTTCGGGGTTGGCGCCCCCGGGGCTGCACTGTGGGCTCAGGGTGTCTCTGGGCACGGATCCATCACTCCAGCCCAAGCTGCCTCCTGGGACCTGTTGACCACGGGGTCCAGCTGCCCTAGCCTGGCACTGCCAGCCTGCACCCCTCCCTGCATGTCTCCCTTTGGTGCTTGGGGGTCCAGCCCCTGCTGCCTCAGCACGTTTGTTTGGTGGAGAAATACCAAAGGGTTCTGATGGTGCCTGAGCATTTGAGGCATTGGTGCTTTCATTCCTTTCCAGCCATCTCCAAGTAAACACAGAGAAATAGGAATCTGCTGTCTTCCTCCGTTAAATAAACCTTTTTGTGTGGGGGTGGGAAGGGCTCGGCCCCTTGGATGTCTTTCCTTGTGTGAATCTTTTCCTTTTTAAGCAGAAAATAGCATGTCCGCCCAGCCAGCTGGGCACTGGCCCTGGGTCAGTCACTCAGGCCGGCCTGCGCCAGGAGGTGAGGCACCAGCAGTGCCTGTGCTTTCTCCCCACGTGCTGCGGGACTCGGTCTCTCAGTGATGTGGTGGTGGGGAGAGCAGAGCTGTACTCCACGTCCCCAGCTGTGTGCTGTGCTGGCTCTCTCTTCCTGGGTCTGTTTCTGTAGATGCAGTGGTCCATGTCCAGGTCTGTGCTGCTCCTTGGCTTCCCTGTTCCCTCACCCCCCTCACTCCCCCACCCTGGGGCACTTTGCCCTGTGAGTAGGGGAGAGGCAGGTTCCCAGCAGTGGGGTAGCTGCAGCCCCCATCACACATCTCCCCACAGGGACTGCGTGGTCCCCACTGCCCCTGAGAGAGACCAGGGAATGAATAGGAATGGGTCCAAGCCAGAAACTTCTCTGTGCTTGGAGCTGAGATAGGCTGGAGCGTGTCCTTGCTGACGTCTTGAGCTTTCCTGCCCAGGCTCTGTCAGATAAACATGGGTCCATTTATTTAATGCATAGAAACTGTGTGCAACCTCTGAGCTGTCTTTCCGGGGCATGGCTCCTGGGTTTCCTCCTGACAGGCCGCGTGGTTCGGTGGGAAGGGCAATGGGAGCACTGCACCCGGGGTTTGGTAGCGCTTGTGAATTCCTTGGCTGGCCCAAAGCTTAGCAGGGAGGTGATTCATAAAGCCCCGCTTGTTCGGGAGCGCTCGTCGCCTGCGCTGAATGAACGCTGGCAACTCCGAGCTTCTCAAATGCCTGGGATTGCAGCCGTGGATCATGTGTGAGAAATGTCACCACGTCCCATTCCGGCCCCGCGCAGTGTCCGACCAACACCAACCGTCCTGGGTACCGATGGAAAACTCATTTCCAGCCTGCCTGTTGCTTCATGCTCCCTGGAAAAATCCAGCGGGCTCCTCCCTGTGCGGTGGGGAGGATGTGGGCGTTTCCTGAGCTACAGAATGAGCTTTTTTGCTTTAAAAAGTGCAGGGAAATATAAAAATAGTTTGCTGGCTTTTTCTCTATTTTTTTGAAGGGAAGCCGAGGTCTGTGACATTGTTTCCAAGACCGGCTGGGGCTAACTTCCTTGCTCTGGGGACATTGAAGGGATGCAGTGAATGTTTAACTGGTGGAGCAGCACTACCAGGGGCTGTGGGGCCGGTTCCCATCCTGCGCTGGCAGGTGGCGGCGCGTTGGATTTGGGTTATCTCTTGTGGCAGGAAGCGCCGGAGGGACCGGAGTCTCCTGAAACCAAACAGCCGCACGTTCCCCCAGCTCCCTTTTGCACCATGAGCCTTAAATGAGTTTTGCAGGGTCACCGTGAGGCCTGGCCAAGCCTTTCCGCCACCCATCCTCTCTTCCCAGGGAACTGTGGGGGGATCATGGCGGCGGGGGGGTTTCCTGTTTTCACATCCCATCTCGAGGACGCGGCGAGCACACGTGCAGCGGGGCCTGCCAGCGAGCGGCTTGCAGAGAGCTCTCTGCACATGCCGGGGTGTCTGGGGGGGGGCAGGAGGTGCGGCACTGTTTGTTTTGGGAAGAGGCGTCCCAATAACACATGGGGATCACCCAGTAGCCCCAGGGCTTGTCACGGTGTGTCTGCAGCTGGAGCAGCAAAGCTCTTTGGGGACAATTTGCCGGTGGAGTGCTGAAGGGGCAGCGAGGACATGGACACGTTCAGCTGGGAAGCAAGGAGGGGCCAAGCTTGGTGTGCTCCTGGCCCCGCTGTCACACTGATGTCCTGAGAGTGCTGAAGGAGAGGGTTGCAGCAGCACACAGGGTGCTGTGGGGTGTGGGTGCTCTCCCTGCAGAGCTCTGCCCTGGCAGGTCAGTCCTGCAGAAATTCAAGCTGCAGAAGCCACTCTGCAATTAATAAGTAACTGCTGCCCTTGGCTCCGGGCACTGCCTGTTGGGAGACGGTGGCCAGGCAGAGAGGCAGGAGAGGCTTTATTCCTATTACAGCCATCCCTAACAAAGGAAGCAGCTCTTCAAGCGCAGCCATAGCATTCAGCACGTCAGTGTCGGCGCAGCCCCTGGCTTGTCAGCACAAAGGCTGGCCGGGCTCCCTGGGTAGCTGTCTGTTCCCGTATCTCGGGGCGGCTGCTCTTGGAGTGTGCGTGGACGTAGCAGAACGGGAACTAAAGATGCACCGGTTCCCTGCTTCCCACACCGGGCCCTGCCGGGGAGGGGATGCCTCTGTGGGAAGCTGTAGGATGGGCTGATTAGCATTAGCTTCTCCCTCAGGAAAATAGAGCTATAGAAAATTACCTGTGGGACGGTGGGGTGGGATGGGGTGAGGTCTCAGCTCCCTTGCTCTCACGCACACTCAGCTTTGCTGGAGCTGCTGATGCTCCTGCACGGTGTGGTGCTGGCATCTCGTGTGCATGTTGATGGGCAGATGCCTGCCTTGCAGGGAGCTGGATCTCGGCCGCTGTGGGACACAGGGATCCATGTAGATGTGCTTGCAAGGGTTGTACCAGAGGTTTGTGCTGGCCAGCTGGATACCCTGCTCTCCCCATGCCTGCGGGAGCAGTGCTGCTCCTGGGGCTGAATGGGGCAGAGGCTTGGGTCTGGCAGACAGCTCTCTCTGCAAGCCTGGCAGAGGTCCTCGGTGACCCTGGTGTCTGGTTTATGGAGCTCTGCACCCACATTTCAGGTCTTGGTCAGAGCTCATTGTGTCCCTGCCCTCCCTCACTGTTCCTGGCAGGAGCACAGAGATGGGGAGAGGTGAGGTGATGGGATTAGAAAGGAAAGACAAGGAAAGGCGGAGCAGGAATGCACAAGTGACAGGTAATGGAAAATCTGTCACTGAAATGTTGCAATCAAATATAAGCCTGGAGCATGTGCTGTGGTGCCACTTGTGGCTGTGATGGGGTGGTGGTGCCCATTGCTCTAGTCAGTGTGCTGGGTGGCCCTAAAGCAGCCAGGGAAGTGATGGTGAGGACAGGTCCTGGCATGCGGAGGGGAGAGCTCCCCCAGCAGCCTGTCATGCACTTGCTGTGGGGAGTGCCATGCTGTGGTCCCCAGGGAGGTTCCCAAGCATCCTCTCCTGCTGCTGTCTCTCTTTACACTGTGTTGCCCAAAGCCCTGGGCCTACCCTGCTTGGGTCTGGTTGTGCCCTGCAGCGGTGGGGAGCCATCAGGGTGGGGAGCTGGAGGGACGCTTAGACAGGCATGGCTGCTGCAGCAGAGTCCTGCTCTTGCTGACATGGGCCAGGAAGCTGTCTGATCCTCCCGACAGCGCTGCTGGCCAGAGATTGTATCTCAGCATGCGGGAGGAGCACCCTATTCTGGACCAGCGATTACACAGGAAGGGGTTTTACTCGTGTGCAGCCCATGCCCTGGCTCTCTGCTGGCTGCTTTGCTCCTCACCATGCAGCAGGGCGAGAAGAGGGCTGCAAGTTGCCTCCATTCCTGCTGCTGGCCAGGGGTCCTGCCTGCAATGTCTCACAGCAAGAAAGCAGCAGATTTCTGGGGCTCAGCCCTGGCTGAACCCAGTGCCTGGCAAGAAACACCATTGATCCTCTCCCAGCACAGCCACAGTCAAGCTGCCTGGCCTCAGAGCCGATGAGTTGCATCCCATGTGGATGCTACTTGCTGAAGTACAGCAATCCTGTGGAAAATGGAGAGGGACTTGCTGGAGGCGGCCCTACGTGCGAGAGCAGGAGGTTGGAGGCCCATGGCCAAGAAAGTGCCTGCAGTAGGTGAGGTTCTGTTGGCAGAGAGCGGCGGGTGGATGGGAGCTGTGCCACGCGTTAGGGCTGCAGCTGGAAATCAAATAACTCTTGCTCGTGCCCGAGAGGTTCAGCTATGTGGGGCTTGGGTCCTGGGGAAGACCTCGCCTCTCTGCTCGGTTGCAAGGAAGGCCCTGGGAAACAGGACCCCCTGCCTGGGATATTCCTTGTCCCTGCTTTTCCTGCCCCGGCTGTGCTCCCTGGTGAGGCTGTACTGAGCTGGCTTTGTTGCACACTTGGAGGGAGCCCAGCAAGCGAGCAGCTTGGGGCCGAAGGGCTTGCCTTGCCTTGCTGTTGGGGAGCTAAATATATACGTCTTGGCCAAAAATCTCAGTGTGGTGTAACCGTCAGCACCGGCTGTGTGATGGGGAGAGGAGCTGCCTGGCTGTGCCTGAGGAGGGCAGGAGGGATAGTGTGGGGGATGTGGGAAGGCAGCACAGACCCTTTGCAGGGCACCAGCAAGCCACCTTGGATGATGGTACCATTGGACATGGCATGGCAGGAAATTCTCAACCCATCCATCTGTCTTTTCCATCTCCCAGCCACACTGCCGGCTGCCTGTGCTCTCGGCTTTGTTTCCAGCCATTTACCAGGCTCCTTTCCCTGTGCTCATCTCTCTTACTCATTCCTTTGTGCCTGTGATTGCTCTGAAGTGCATCTGCGGCCAGTCTGACAGCATCTCTGTCCTCTAGGGGAGCCTGTCGCTGGGTCTCTGTGGGGATTTGGCATCTTTATCTCCAGATTTGGTTTCTTTAGCCCTTCCCCACATCCTCCCAGGGCTGCGGTGGAATGCATGGGGCACAGCCCAGCCCTTTGCAGAGACGTGGCTGCAGCTACGCTTGCTTTTGCTGAATAAGCCTGTGGCTGGGAGCAGCGCTGACGTCAGGCTGTGAAATACCTGTGCGAGGGCCTGGAGCTGGCTTAGCACAGCCCCAACACTGGGGCTGGGAGGAGAGATGCTCCCTTCCAAGCCTGGGAAGATGCACCCGCCTCTGGCCCATGCCAGCTGCCTTGCCCAGGCACGGTGGGTAATTGGCATGAGCCACGTTGTCTCTGAGGTGGGGCTGCTGTAGAGCTGGGGAGCAGACAGCCTCGGCAGCCCCCTTGGGCACTTTCCTGCTCTCCCCTCTCATCTTACCTGGTGCTGGTGATGTCCCTTGTTGGCGTGGGCTGCATGCCCTGCACGGTGCAAATCCACCCCATGGCTACGTCCTGTAGCTGCCTGTGTACCCGGCTGTGCCTCCACCTCTCCTCCACGGGGTCATTTCCCCTGCGGGGGAGGTTTATTACTGTGGTGCCCACCCACAGTGACACAGGTAACCCAGGGCAGGCAAACCCTGAGTTGTGCAAGTCTGTCAGAGGCCAAATTCCTGCAGCTGAGTACTCTGCCCTGTGCTGGGGGTGCTGCACGTCTGGTTTAAATTTGGCGGCCTTGAGGGGAGCACCTTGCTGTGGGCTGAATGTGTAGGTGCGGGATGCATCAAGTGGGGCAGGATGTGCCTGCTCTCGGTGTGATGCTGACTCGTTCCCTTCTTGGCATTGCTTAGCACAGTGAGGCATGGTGTTCAGTGGCAGAGTCTGGGTGCAGTGTGACGTCTGGCCAAGCAAAGCTTGCTCTGGAGCCCCCTGCCATCCCCTGCTCCCTGCTCAGAGCTGGATGGAGCCCAGGTGCTGCTTCACCCCAGGCTGCAGTGCTGATGGTGTGGTGATCCCCTGGGGTATGCGGGTGTGGAGTGGGGCTCCCCCCAGCAGCCGGCCGGGGGTCTCTGCTGCAGTGGGAGGATGTCCAGAGATGTCTCCTCTGGAGCTGATGCAGTCATGGAGCAGATGTGGTCGGGTGACAGGAAATCTGGGAGCTGGTGCTTTCTCTTCGCAGTGATTTATGGGGCAGCACAGCCACGGGCAGGACGTCACTGCCCTGGAAATGGGCTGAGGTGGCTCCAAGCTACTTCCTCTGCTTAGGGCGAACAATGCTGCCTGGGAAGCCATCCCGGCTGTCCTGGCCCCAGCCGCATCCCCAGGGAGCCCTTGTTTGCAGCCAGAGGACGCCTGAGCAGCCTCTGCATGGCATTTCCACCCGCGGGCAGGGGGCATCCCAAACCACAGGGGCTGCCTCTGTGCCCCAGGAGCAGGATGATGCACAGGCCACCTCCTCCCTTCTGCTCTGTCCCCTACCAGGGCCTGCAGATGCCAGCAAAGTTCTTATTCTGTGTGGCCTTGGCTGGAGTGTGTGTGTACGTTGTCAGGGAACAGCAGGGATTTACAGCTGCCTGAATTATTGGGGGGGGGGGGGGGTGGGACAGGATGGGGATTTCATCTCGCGGGGGCAGGAGGAGATGGTGTGGGCTGTGGCCAGCTGTAATTGCAATGGCCTCTGGAAAACATCCGCCAGGAGTTTCCTCCTTGCTTTGTACCCGGGGCCATGGCATTGCTGGGTCAAGGTGCTGGGGAGAGCTGGGGGTGATGCAGCCAAGGCACAGCCTGGCTGTGCATCTGCTGTGACAAAGCCGAGAGCTCTGTCCCCAAGCCCCTGCCTCGGCTTTCAGCCCGTCATGCTCTGTTTCTCTCCCTGGTTGGGTGTTCTCTCCACGTGCTTGCTTGGGGATGCTCATGGGGCTCCTCCCTGCACCCTTGGTGCAATGGCTTCAGCTCTGTCCTCTTACTCTGCCCTCATCTGCCACTGGCCACCGCACTTTGCCCCGGGGTTGATTTTGTGGGTGGTGAGGGCAGTTGTTTCAGTTTGTCTTGGCTCTGTGGCATGCCCCGGATGCAGCTGTTTGCCTTGAGAGGAGGGTGGCTCTGGAAGCCAGGACCTGCCCTCGGGGAGCTCTTGACCCCCATTTTGACCTTCTGCAAGCAGGTGACATTTGCTGCAGTCCTCTGTGGGAAGAAGGGCTGGGAACCCCACCATCGCGGACGAGGTCTTGTGGAGTAGAGCCGGCTCTGGTTGCGCTTTTATTTGCTTGTTAAATATTTTATTTGGCCCTTCTGATTTAGTTTTACGGTGGCTTTAACAGGATCATGCTGTTTTCCAGCTGTCTTTGCACATGTATGTGGGAGAGGAAGGGGGAATAGGATTCAGTGGGGGGCACGGGGCAGCGGCCACCTCCCCCCCAGGAGCTGAGGAGAGAAGGAACAGCAGGAGGCCAGGGATGCAGGATGAGTACTGGCAGCCTGTGCTACCTCCCAGATGCTGCTGGAGATGTACAGCTTGGGGCCGGCCCGAGGAGGTGCCTTCTGTGTAACCGGTCTCAAAGCAGTTTCCTTCCATGAATTTTCCTACTGATGTTTTGAAACTGTTTTCAGTGCCGGCAGCGAGTTGCTCTGCAGGTTCATGGCACTCCAGGGCAACGCAGGAACGGTGCCTGCGCACCCGTCTGCACATCTTGCCTGCTCCTGGGCTGGGGAGCACCCACACACCCAGAGACAGGTGTGTTCTGGGGCCAAACATCCATCCTTGGTGGCACTGGAGGCTGTCTGTGGTCCCCTCCTCCTGGCCGGATGCAGCCCTGGGAGCAGCACTGGAGGCGGCTCTGGCTGAGGGCTGGAACTGGGGGGAGGCTCCCTGGGGAGCCCAAGAGGCTGGGTGTGTGTGGGGAGGCATGACTAAATGGGTGGGGTGGGCATGGTAACACTAAATATTTGAATGGGAGCAGGGTCAGCCCGGGTAACGTGGTGAGTAAAAATAGATGTAGGGAGTAGAAAGGAAAATGCTACCGTTGCTGGATTGGCGCGTGGGAAAGAGCATCTGTGCAATGGCAGAACCGGCGCTGGGGGGGGGAGGCAGAGGCTGGGGGGGTCCCATGCCCATGGCCTGAACAGTGCCCCCCCCTGCAGCGTGGCTGATGCAGCAGCCTCCCGTGATACCTGGAGCTTGGTTTCCACAAGGGCTTCAGCAGCAGCTGGGCTGTTGCTCACCACTCTCTCGTGTTCCCTGCAGCCGAGAAGGTGTCCTCCCTGGGCAAGGACTGGCACAAGTTCTGCCTGAAGTGTGAGCGCTGCAACAAGACCCTGACCCCAGGCGGGCATGCTGAGGTAAGAGTGGATGGGGTGGATGGGATGGGGGAGCTGTGCTGCCGTGCAGGGTGGCCTGGTGGGCTGTCCAGCACCCCAGGGATGGCGAGTCGCAGGAATCTGGCAGGGCAGGTACCCGGTGCCATGCGGATGGGTTGTCCCTGCAGGACACAAGTCCAGGAGCACACACTGTGGCTTCAAGTGCTGCTGCTGCTGCTGCTGCGACACGTGGTGCTTGAGTTCTTGTGCACAGTCCTGGGCAAGCCACAGAGTGGTGCTGGCACCACGTGTTGTGGCCCAGCTGTGCCAACCTGATGTGGGCTCACAGGCAGCCTGTGGCAGGGCATGCATGCCCTGGCAAGCACTTGAAGCTGCTCTGTGTACCAGGCAAGCTTGTTTGTGCATCGTGCTGACTTCAGTCATGCAGGAAGTAAGAGCTCGCACCGGAGTGTGGTTAAAAACACCAAAAATCGGGGATGCGGGGGTTGCTGTGGTGGTGCAAGCTCAGCACTGGTGCCCCGGGGCTTGTGCTGGAGTGCGATACCACCGCGGCTGCTCAGGGTCGTGAGGGTGCCATGGCAGTGGTGGCAGGTGCTCGGCCCTGGGAGCAACTGTGTTTTTGTTGTGCGATGCCCCAGTGTGACATGCGGTGCCCCGGGTTTAGCGCAGTGCCTGTCATGCCAGCATGTCACCAGCTCTTTAGCAGGGTTTTAGCAAGCAGCACAGCTGGGAGCAGGCAGCAGGGACAGCAGCAGCTCTGGGGGAGCGGGCCCACCCTGCGGGAAGGACGATGGGGCTACACGGGTGGCTCTGTGCTTCGGGCTGGGTTAACCCCGGGGGATTTGCTGTTTCTCCATATAAGGCCAGATTCTGCTGCCGTGGGGATGGCAGCCAAGCCCCCACCAACTGTGCCAGAAGCAGGATTTGGCCCTTCCCTGCCCTTTCTCCCTCCTCTCAAGCCAGTGTGTCCGGCTGGGTTGGAAAGGTGTCGCAGGGAGACCAGCTAAATGTTTACCTCCCCCCGGCATGGTAACTCAGCAAGCACACTGATGTTTATGCCTGGCGATGTTTAACAGCTGCCTGCTGGCAGCCTGCTGCCTGCCCACTCCCCAGCCTTGCCCTGTCTGCTCTTAGCCCTTGCCTTTGGCATGGCACCGCTTGGGGAGGCGAGGAAAGGGACATGGCTTCTGCTCAGCTACCGCCCTGCTGCTTTGCACAAGGCATCCCTGCCTGCAGCAGAGGGGATGGAGCACAGGGCAGGAAGCAGGGCTGAGATGCTGAATGGAGCCGAGCAGGCAATGGGGTAGGTTCTTGCCTGGGTCCCAGTGGCTTTTCCACACGGGGCGGTGTGTGTGGTAGCACTGCTGGCCCCCTGCCCTAGCTACAAAGGCTCTTTCTTTTCTCTTGGACTTGGTTCCTGTTAGCCCATGAGGAATGCCTACAGGGAGCTCTGGGGCTTATCGCCTGCTTCATGCCTTCCTGTGATAAATCGGCCCCAGCTGATAGTGTGGCTGATAGTGGCTGGGCTGGGACCAGTGCCTGCATGGGGCCTCTGATCTCAGACCAAGGTGAGGAGGAGGCAGATTTTGGTGGTAACCATGGTGCTCTGTGTGCCTAATAACGGCCTGGGTGCACACAGGATGCTTAACTGGCAAAGCAGTGCCTTACTGAGTGGCACATGGCCAGGTTGAGGCTTGGAGATACCTCTCAGCTGAAGTGGTGCAGGGTGCTGGTGTTCCAGCCCCGCTGTGTGGCATGTGCAGAACAGCCAAAGTGTCTGATCCAGGCAGAATCCTTGAGTGCTCATGTTGGGTTAGCCTGTCACTGGCAGACCCACAGGCTGGGTGCATTTTGGGGTGTAGGCACAGCCATGGTGGTCTCTGAACACCAGTGGGGATGGAAGTGATCCCGAGAGAACCATGCTCACCACTCAGCACTCTAACACTACCCTCTCTCTCCCCAGCATGATGGGAAGCCCTTCTGCCACAAGCCCTGCTACGCCACACTGTTTGGGCCCAAAGGTAGGTCCATGCTCTCCACATGTGGCTGTGCCCAGGGCCGCAGGAAGGACCAGGTCCCCTCATCCCTGATGGTGGGGAGCTGTGGCCTTGAAAATACCCCTGGAGCCAGGCTAGCATGGGCTGAGCATCAAGCCAGCACTTGTAGTCCCAGCCCTGACATCCCCTTGTGCAGAGGGAGAGCGGCTTGAGGGAGGGATCCGTCCTGACAGCTGTCCCTTTTTTTTATATTTATAAGCCAAAATCCAATTCAAACAGAAGGTGGAGTTGCTCTCCCATCCCAGATGTGGCTGAAGAAAGCCAAGCCAGGCCAAAGCAGGCTGGGCTGACATGCAGCGGTGTTTGCAGTGACCCTGTGGCTCAGTGGTACTGGGGGAGGTGGGACAGAGGGCTGGGGGGAGGATGGAGACTCCCAAGTGCTCCCAGACCACAGCAGCCTTTCTCTGCCCCTCTGCAGGGGTGAACATTGGTGGTGCTGGGTCCTACATCTATGAGAAGCCGCAGATCGAGGGGCAGACTGCGCCAGGACCCATCGAGCACCCAGTGAAAGTGGAGGAGAGGAAGGTGAATGCTGCACCTCCCAAGGGACCCAGCAAAGGTGAGGGGGAGGCAGGATGGGCAGTGTTGGTGTTCAGTGTTTGCTGATGCTGTGGGGGTCCTCCGCACCCATGTGTCCTGGCTGAGATGTCCCTCCACTTCCCATGCCTATGCTCTGTCTCCTTCCAGCTTCCAGTGTCACCACCTTCACTGGGGAGCCCAACATGTGCCCGCGCTGCGGCAAGAGAGTCTACTTTGGTAAGGTGCTGAGCGGGCAGTGGGTACATGCCCAGAATGGTATGGTCCCGTGGTGCTGGGTCTCCATGCAGGACTTCTGGGGCATGTAGAGGGGCTGGGAGGGAGTTTTGGCTCAGAGATGGGGTTGGAGGCACAGAGGCATGTGCCCTAGGAGCCTGCAGGAATGGGTCCTCTTGGAGGAGCTCCTGGGTGCAGGGCTTCATCTGCGCCATGTCCCCTGCTTTCACCTCCCAGGTGGGTGGTGTGGTCTTAGTAGCCACCCTCTGTCACCTGCAGGGCAGCAGAGGGGTGGGAGAAACGTGGGGGGCTGGAGTGGACAGGGCTGTCTCAGGATTTTATATGCAGAGGTGCTGTCCCTGGGGGCGTGTTTCCCCTCAGCATGTGTGCACATGGAGCGTGACCCTCCCTCCTTGTCCCCACTGTAGCGGAGAAGGTGACTTCACTGGGGAAGGACTGGCACCGTCCCTGCCTACGCTGTGAGCGCTGCAGCAAGACGCTGACCCCGGGAGGCCATGCCGAGGTAAGGATGTCCTGGCCCTGAGAGCCTGGGCAGCGTGTGTGGGGAATGCCATGGGGCATGGCTGAGCTGTGCTGTGCTGCACTGATGGGACAGCCCCCGCCTTTGCAAGAGGGTAGGGCAGGGCTGGCAGAAGCAGCCCCTGCAGCCTCGGGGGGGGGGGGGGGGGGGGGGGTAGGGGTGCTGGGGTACAAGCCAGGACAACAGTCCTGGGGACTGGCCTTTCCCTGGCCCCCCACCCCAGATGACATGCTCTTCTCTCTGCCCTGCACAGCATGATGGACAGCCGTACTGCCACAAGCCCTGCTACGGGATCCTCTTTGGGCCAAAGGGTGAGTGCCTGGGGACATGTGGGATAGGGAGCTTGCTGATCATGCACAGAGGGGACGTCTCCTTGGAGCGTGCCACCCTCCTGTTCAGGTCCTCACCCTCCTGCATCTCCCCCTGTGCAGGTGTGAACACCGGAGGTGTGGGAAGCTACATTTACGACAAAGACCCTGAGGCGAAGAACCAGCCCTAGATGGCGTCCCCCTGCCCACCCGCCTGCTCTGTGCCCCTGTACTAACCTCCTGCTCGCAGACGGAGCAGACCCTCGCCAGGCTGGCCACAGAGCTGTGCTCTCTCTGCTGTCTCTACTCAGGGCAGGACAGCCCTGCCCCCGGGTTATATATCATAGTCTCTAATATAAGCTTCAGTGTTTAAACGTAGAAGGTATCTCTGATGGTTCCCAATGCGCTCTGCCCTCCTCAACCTTCCCACCAGTCCCTGAGTGCAGGAGGCAGTGGGGGTGTGTGGGAATGTCACCATGTGCAGGGGGGGTGGCGGGTGGCACCTGAAGGGCTGAGGGTGGGAGAAGGCGGTGGCTCAAGTCCCACCATGGGAGGGTGATAGAGCAGGGAAGGTGTCCCGCAGCACTTGGGAAAGTTGGTGGTTGGGGCACCCAGTCCTGTTGCCTGATAGCTGCTGGGGAAATGCATGTTGCTGAGTGCTCTGGTCCATCTGGCAGTGCGGTCCTTCTCCTGGCACCTCCCAGGCTCCATGCCCTGGTTCTCACTCTTCCCGGTACCTGTCACCAACCCCAGCTGCCATTGGGGTTGCAGGGTCTGGCACCTCCCTGTATCCCCATCCTTGCACCCCCAGGGCATCCCTGTACATCCACTCAGGCAGGTGCCCAGCCTGGCCTGCCAGTTAGCTTGGGCTGGTGGCCCCCAGCCTGGTCCCATGCTGGGAGAGCACCTGGTGGCTGCAGCCCTGGGGCAGTGGGCTGCTCCCTGCCTTTGGAGGGCAAAGCGCATTGGGCTGGTGGCTCGGCAACGAGATTCCCACCTGCTCCACAGAGCTGGAGTTTTCTCATTGTTGTTGTTTATTTATAAGCAGCTGTAACTGTGCCCCTCGCTTTGGAGAATGACACGTGCCCCCTGTCTCACCCATGCCCCCTGTGCACACCCAGCCCCACTGCTGCCCAGGAGGCTGGGGAGGGGGCTGGTGCAGGGAACCCACCAGGGCATGAGCCCTGGGATGCCAGCACCCTGCTCTCTCAGGCCTCCCTGTGCTGCCATGGGGCTGACTTTTGTTATTTGCTGACAATAAAGGTTTTGAGAGATGTGTTGTGAGGCTCAGCTCTGGGTGGAGGTGGGGAAGCTGTGTGTGCCACGCAGCAGCCTTAGCCCCAGCTGAGCCCAAGCTGCCCAGGCCAGACTGCTATTGGTGCAGCACAACCCATGGCTGCTCTCTGGGCTGGGAGCAGGATGGGCTTGTAGGAGGCTGTGCTGGCCCTGTGGCTGGGATGGCATCCTCCCTGGCTTTGCAGAGTGAAAAACTAACAGAGAGACATAATGTAGCAGGTGACACTTTTCCCCCAGACCAGGTTTGTTGAGCAGGTGCAGTGCCTGACCAGGGCTGCAGAGGGAAAGCCCAGCCCAGAGGCAGAGGGACAGGAAAGCAGTGTGGAGGCATGAAGCACTCCCCCTAACCCCTTGGAGCTGCCACATCCCCAGCCAGATACCAACCTGGCTGCCAAGCCTGGTTTTAGACATCCAGCTATTCCCCCTAGGAGCTCTGTGTCTGGAAAACAAGGCACAGAGGCTGGGGCTGCCAAGGCAAACACTGGCTCTGGGAACCGTTGCTCCAGCTCATCCCTTCTGGCAGGTTCTTGCAAGAGCCCCGCTGGGCTGGCTGTGCCCCCAGGGATGCAGGCACTCCACCGGTCCCATTTTCTGGGGAAAACAGGGACACGGTGCCCACCCGTAGTGTCTTCATTCTTGTAGCAGCCTCAGCCCTGGAGCTGCTCCATCACTGTGCAGGAGAGGGGTGGTGGCTACCAGCCACAGCACCTGGCCTCACTCCTCACCTGGGCATGGCTAGGAAATGCAGTGGGCACTGCAGAATGGGACCACTGGCTCTGCCCATGCATCGTGCCTATAGGGAGCATTTGACCCCAGTGGCATCCCGCAGACTCAGAGCAGTGGGTGCAGGAGCTGCTGGCTTTCCCTCTCCCAGAACTGATCCCAGCAGCATGCAGCTTTTTCCCAAGCACAGTGGGCTCGGCAGTGGGTTCTTGGGCTAGGGAATGGGTTCTGTGTGTTCATGTTTTGGCAGGGTTTCTATAGAGACGTGACCCCTCTTATGCTTCAGGGATCAAGTCTGCTGTGTGAATCAGAGTGGTGTCACTGCCGGCTCCTTCCCTAACCCACACAGAGAGCTGTGCACTCGCAGCCAAACTTTGCCAAATCTGCCCCATGTAGCAGCAGGGGTGCTGGGGTCCCCATATCCCATCTGGGACCTGACACAGCTGCTGGAGAAGCCCTTGGCACAAATCCAGCTCTTGCTGCAATCAATTATTTACCATTGTTAATTAATGAGTTTAATATGCCAACCTTTTTGCTAGCCTGTGGCAATCCCCTGCGACAGGGAGTTTCCCTGAAGGACTGCCCAGGAGCTACATCCAGCCTGGCCTTGAATGTCTCCAGGGATGGCGCATCTACCAGCTCTCTGGGCAACCTGTGCCAGTGTTGTACCGCCCTCACTGTAGAGAATTTTTTTCCTCATGTCCAGCCTGAACCTCTCCTCTTGTAGTTTAAAACCATTACCCCTCATCCTGTCGCAACAGGCCCTGTTTAAATTCTCTCCCCAGGCCAAGCGCAAGCTCCGTCCCCAGCACCTTTGGGCAGGATGCTCGGTGTAGGGAGAAGCTGGGCACCACCAGGCCAGAATGTGATGGGAAAGAGCCAATGCAGGGCTGCTGGGACTAGTTAAGAAAGTGGTCTTGAGATGGGAAGTCTGTTTGGGGTAGCAGGGATGGAATGCCTTAATGGTTGGTACTTGGGTTAGTTGTGGGTGTGAAGGGATATGGGGCAGGGCAGGTACAGCATCCCTGTTGCTGCCTGCTCCCAGGCAGCAGCCATCAAATGCAAGAATTTATTTTGGTTTGGGGCTGGCTTTTTTTCCTCCTCCTTTCTTTTTTTGCTTACATTTTCTTTTCCCCATGAGAGTTTCACTGGGGGAATGCAGTGAAATTAAAAATAGACAAAATTCAGCTCTGCTGCACAAGGGAGTGCTGGGAAGCCAGCATCAGTCACAGCTTCCTGTTACCCCAAAGGGGACAACTCGGCTGCTCAGGCTCCAGGTGGGTGATTTCTCTTCCCTGTCCCCCCACCCTGATGTGGCAGGGGGGCTGGGCACCGCTTGTGGCAGGTACAGCGGGAACCCACAGCAGAGGTGTTAAGGACAGGAAGATGAAGGATGCTGCAGGGCTTTGGAATCCCATGTGGGGTTATCTGTGTGCGGTTCAGAGGGGTCAGTGAGAGAACCAGGGCACTGACACAGCAGTCGAGCACTTTGCTTGAGCAGAGGAGGCAGCTCTGGCCTCTAATCCTTGGTGCATTTTTGTGTTTATTTTTTGGGAGGCCTATTTGAGCTGAAAATGCTCCTTTACTTGAGGCTTGGAAAACATCCTTCCCCTAAGGGATGTCAAGTATTCTATTTTTCTTCAGCTCGGACTTGCTAGTGGGATAAAAAAGGTTGGAGGGCACTGGTGACTGCAGACATGCTCTCCAGAGTACAGGGGAAAACAGAGAACAAAGTGGATTCAGCTTTGCTTGGAAGTCCCCCAAGCCCTGTGAACTTGTCCTAGGCAATTACCCTTGCTGGCTCCCAGCTCTCCTGAGAGGGGGAACCATGCCTTGCAGCTCCTCGCTGGGCACAGGCAGGGATCCCACCAGCTGCCATGAGAGTAGCCCCAGTGATGGGTGCCAGCCCAGGTATCCCTCAACCGAGGGAGAAGCGGGGTTGTCACCTAGTGGTGTTTCTCAGCAGAAGGCTGAGGGCGCTTGTGCCACCAGAAACGGGGCTGCATTCCTTGCACTGTCCTTAGGGACCCAGAAAAGGGACGTGTGAGTGCACAGAGGCTGGACCTAGAGGGGCACCGAAGGCTGCACACATGGAAAACACCAGGGAGGGACTTGCTGGGGGCAGGAAGGATGAGGGCAGGCCTGTGCTATAACATCTGAGCTAGTCCATGCAGGGAATGGAGATGCAGCATCATGGTGTGGAGGGGCTCATGAAACGCAGGAAGGTGGCAGGACAGCCCAACTGTGGCTAGCAACATGGCTCTGACGTGCCAGGGGCTGGAGCAGCCCAGCTGGGCAGTAAAGCAAGGCAGACTTAAAGCATTTGCTGGGAAGTCAATAAATAGGAGCCAAAGAGGATGAAGTGCTGGAAGATGTGATTTAAGATGGAATATTAAAAGCGACGCAGTAAGCACAGCTTGTTTCCACAAGGGCCAAGAACTGGCTCTGATATTCCCTGAAGTCAGTGGAGTGGCTCTCCCTGGTTGGCCAGGCTCTGGCTCAGCCCCAGGAGGAGAGGCTAAAGTCCTGAGTGTAAATACTGGAGAGCGTGTAGGAGAGCAGGCAGGGATGAAGGAGGAGGAACAGCATGAAACCAAACAGAGAAGGATTCGGGCTATAAATCCCCTGTCACTGCAGTGCACTGGGCTGTCACATAGGGAGAGCTGCTGGGGCAGGCTCTGCCCTGGGGGCCTCTGGTAGGGAATTTCCTCCCCCGGATATAGGCTGGGCTCTACAGCAGCCTTTGTATCGCCGGTTGGTTTTCAGGTGGGGTGAGCAGCAGGGGCAGGGGGAGGAATACCTGTGTTGGTGGGATGGAGGTGTGCACGCTGCCGGTGGGTGTGCAAACCTGTGGATCCTTCTCTCACTCTCCTCTCTCTTACTCTGTCCTGGCCCTCCTTGATGCCTGCGTGCGGCAGAGTGGAGCAGCTCTATCCCTCTTCCCTCCCTGCACCGCCACTACGGCATGACCACGCAGTCTGCTGATGGCGAGAGCAAACACCTCTGCACTCCTTCCCCTTTGCCTCACCTCCAGTGAATTTTCAACCAGGAATAAAAGGTGTGGTTTCAACGGCCTTGTTTTCCAGACCCAGCCCAGGGCAAATGGTGCCACTGGGTGAATGCCCCATGCCAGGGCAGGGCTGGGAAGGTGCTCCCTGGCACTGGTCCCTGTAGCAGCCCCTGAGCCATGCCCATACTCCTCACCAGCCCCCAGTACAGATGTGATCTTCCAGCAGGCAGAGCAATGCCTCATGGGTGCTGGGCGGCCTCCCAAAGCAGCGGGCGTTGCTTCCTCAAGGATCCTGGCTGGATTTGTTAGCCACAACACAAACAGCCAGGGCTGTGCCAGGAAAATGCACCAA